TCTGAGCATGCCCAGTGCCGCCGTGGGCGAGACCCAGCTCCTCGGCCGGGGCAGAGAGCTGGGGCTGGGGTCGGGACCCCAGGCTCCAGAGCGCAGGTAGTGGGGGACCGAGGGAAGGCCCTGTGCAGGGGAGGGGACCCTGGAGCGAAGGGCCGGGGAGAAACATTGTGCGGAGGGCCGTGCAAGTTTCATGGGTTGTGGGAAGTTTGTCCGCTAGCGAGGCGAGCCTCTGTGCAAGCCTGTATTCGAAAGGACAACAAGGGAAACATTTATTCTCCAGAAGAGAGCGAATGGACCCAACAGATGGGTGTTAGCCATTGCACCTTGATTCCTAGGTCGTAGACTCAGGAGCTCACGGGGCCTGGCAGACAGTGTAAATGAGTCAACTGTGTAGGAGGTGGCCAACTAGAGAGAGCTCTAAGGGCAGAGCCACTCTGCTCTAAATTGCCCATTGTTATTAAAGAATTTGGGCCTACTTTTGCTAGGTTTTCTAATTTTCCAAGAAATGAAAGATTTAGATTCTTTTCATGTAAAATACTCCGATTTTAAAATCCTGAAAATATATTCAATTTAAAAAACACACACAACACTCTATACCAAACAAAACCGTGTTCCTTCCTTGTGCAATCCCTAAAACAGCTAATTTGAAGTCTATGATTTCTGCATTCTTTTAACAAAGAGATGCTGAGTGCCCACTGCGGTCTGGGAAGGAACTGAAAGGATCCATGATGATTCAGATTTCCATCAAAACACTACCAGTTACTAAGGGAAATGGGTTTTCAGACAGAAGAGAGCTATATAGATAAATGCCCGGGCATTCAAGAAAAGTTACTGATGTAAAAGGAGTTGGTAGAACTAACTTTTGGGAAACATCATTAATAAAAACGTACCTGAGCCCGGCCGGGCGTGGCTCAGCGGTTGAGCTTCGACCTAGAATCCAGGGGATCAGGGTTCGATTCCCGGTCAGGGCACATGCCCGGGTTGTGGGCTTGATCAATGACTCTTCAGCATTGATGTTTCTGTCTCTCTCTCTCCTTCTCCTTTCCTCTCTCTGAAATCAATAAAGATATATTTTTTAAAAATAATAAAAATAAATAAAAATAAAAACGTACCAGAGTAGGAAGATTCTGCAGGATCACTAAGGCAGTGCCCTGCCAAAGCCTTTTGGAGACTGAAAAAAAGGAAAAACCAGATATACTAACCCTGTCTTTACTTTAAATGTTGATATTTTTCATCATACATTATTGCATTAATTTTTAAATGTTTTATTAGGATATTTTTCTTGATTACTGACTTCTCTGATGTTCCCTTAAGTTTGTGGCCTACCTCATCCTACCTTGTGCTCTGTAGGGTGTTAGGTGGTAATACCCCATTATCTTAGTGTATTTAGGATTCTGTTTGCAAATCTTTGGAATCAGCTTTTGGGTAATACAACAATTTTGTGAGTTAAAATGTCCCTGTATCAGTTTCTATTGCCATCTCCCTTCCTACCACCTTCATTTATTTAAATCTTCCTCTTTATCTTCTATTTTCTCAATATTGCAGATCTAGTCCAAGATTACAACTCCCCCAAACCAGTACAACTGCCCTCTAACCCACAGGTAGGTCATCAATGTAGTCTCTGCCTCAACCAGACACCTGGGACTTACCTCAATACCCTGGGTGATTCTCCTTGCAGGTGAGCTCATTGCAGAATTAATGGAGAACAGACTACTACTTACCTATGGGAAATATTTTAAGCATGCAGAACTCTCAAAGAAAAAAAAATGCTTGGCTGTTTACACAAGAAGCCTTCTAGAAGTTATGGAAAGGAGGAAGTACTCAGCCCAGGACTTATCACAGGTAGTTAAAAATATTTGCAGAATAAATATTAATTTCCATCATCAAAACACTCTGTATCTCTGTTTCACCTCCCACAGTTCCTAAGAATTATTATTTTTAAAAACCACTAATGATAAGGTTGTAGAGAAGAGCAAGAAGAACAGGATACAAACACTTATAAAGGGGGGGCTCTGCATTAACAACTAAAAGGTTTGTCTACTTAAATTTTAAAATGTATTTGTTTTCACAATTATTTGTACTAGTAGTAAATAGTACATGATATTAAAAAGCTCAGTGCAGAAAAGCTTAGTACAAGGAAAAAGTAAGTTTCCCTCCCCAAGAACTACTATTGTTGCCAATTTCTTGCATATAGTTAACGAAAACCCTATGCACATGAAAGCAAGCATAGCTGTTTTTTCCCCCTTAAAGTCTAATCATGAAACCATAGAACTGAAAAATACCTTATCATTCATCTAGGTGCCAAGTTACAGATTTTTAAATTACTATTCTGGAAAATAAAAGGAAAATATGGCTTTATAGCAAAGATGTCTACAGCGAAAGTACCTAGAACCCTGGAAGAAGAAGGCCTTCTCTAGAACCTGACCATGCTGGCACCCTGATCTTGGACCTCCAGCATCCAGAACGAGAGATCCAAGATGGCAACAGAGTAGGTGGAAATTACACTCATCTCTTCCCAGGACCAAATTGGAATTACATCTAAAATATAAAACAATCAACCTGAATAACCAATTGAACATTAGCTGAACAGAAGTCTTATAACCAAGGATTTACAGAAGAAGCACATCGAGACTGGTAGGAAGGGTAGAGACATGAAAAGGGCTGGTCCCCAACCCATATACAGTGGTTGAGAATTGGAAGGGATATCTCAGCTGTAGAGATCCCCTCTGAGGAGTGAGAGGGTCTCAACCCCATGCTGCGCTCCCCATCTCAGAGCACCAGTGCCTAGAAGAAGACTACAAAGCATCTGACTGAAAATCATCTGGGATTCCATCTGCCAGGGAGAGACAAGAGTCTGCTAGAAACCCAGGTGTCCTCTTAAAGGGTCAGCATACAAAATCTCTTTTGTGATCACTTACCCTGGGCTCCAGCAGACGGATGGCAGCTCAGAGCAGACTGGAGTCACACAGGGAGAGACAGGGTTGTGTGGCTTCAAGGAGAGGGCTAGAAGATCAGATTCCAGTGCCTTTGTGCTGAGTCCCTCTCGCACACCAGCCACAGATGCCATCTTTCCTGGGTTGAGAATCCTCCTCAATGCTGAATCACCTGGAGGGGATGCACAAGTACCACCCTCCTGACTCCCTTTACCCCTGCCTTGCCAAGCACCTGCCCTGAGGAAGAGTCTGCTCAATGTGGCCAGCCTGGTCCTGCAGTTTTCTTGGAAGCCTCTTAAGGAGGTCCAGCCCCACCCCACCCATGCCTCTACTGGTGCTACTGTACAGAGCTTTTCCTCCACATGACCAAATATTAATTTGTTTTAGCCTCATAAACTCTACTGGCCTCACCCTGATGACTCCCTGAGACCCTGATCCATCACAAAGGTCTGCAGGCCCCAGGCGGGTGGTAGTTGGCCTTGATGTACCCTGAGACTTTTGCTGAGTGGCTTTAGACCCACTGTTGGTGCAGAGTTTGAATCTCTGTCACGTGGTGAACACCACTCGCTCCTATTTGCTGACTCACTTAGAACCTACCCCATGTAAACTTGCCTACTGCCAGAGGCTCTTTCAGTAACTGAACCTAACAGGCAGCCATCAGGTAAAGGCAGACCTCAGGGTGCCTTGGACCTTTCACTGATCTGCTCTGGGCTGCAGGACCTTGATATGTAGCTTGTTCCCTCCCACATGCACCCAGGCCCAGCAGAGGCAGCCATAAACTGTGAATCACTTTGTAGGTCCTAACAGGTAGCTGAGGGCTGGTCAAAGGCAGCACTTGGCATTGACCTGCAGTGAAGTCCCTCCCAAGAA